ACAACCAATAGGTATATGATACCTGGCACTGGCCCCTGTATTTATTCCAGAAGGACACAATGGATTTGGATTTGGGGGGTTATAGTTATCCAACTGATCTCTGATTTGGGTCTCTCATGCGGACGTTTGCATGGTGGGACACAGGCTCTGACTTTTCGCTGCTGTCGCGAAAGTTCAACTGACCTCTTTGGGTTCATTTCGGCAGGGAATGCATGCTGATATCTTCAGGTTCCAGGGCACCCATGTGTTGAAGAAGAACCCTGAAAGGGGAAGACTCTTGGCTTCATAGCATGTTTCAGGTTGAACATGCCCTTTTGACATTCTCGTTACGCGTGTAGGTTCCAGCAGGATCGCCTGGAACCTAGAAAAAAAGGGTTGATCATGCCCAGACAAAGACACAAACATGGTTTCAGGACCAGACAGATTTCATTGGCCAGGTATGGACTCCGGGTATCAGCAGACACTCCCTGGCAGGATTGGCACAGAAGATGCCTCAGCTGAACACTCTGAGGATGTACCTCTCAGGCTCCTGGGATCGTTCCGTTCGGTTCTTGCCTTTGGTTCTGTTTGGCAGCGGGATCCTGGCAGTCAGATCCAGCAGCTGTGACTTCTGGCTGTGTGGTGGTGTCAAACCGATAGAATCTCCACACATCTTTGATTGGGAGGTTACTAGAGTTACTAGATGTTTTACTAGAGTTACTAGATGTTTTTCCAGTGCACCTCCCTTGGGTGATGTGCTGCCCCCATGTTTGCCACGTATTGGGGCGGGCGGAAGGAGCTTTGAAGGAGTCTGGGGTCAATCAAAGGGGACACTCCCAACCATTAGAGGTGAACGTGATTGATGACGATGTGATTGGGTGGCCACTCTGAGGGTGCGATGGCATGGGTGACGCTGGCTATGCTGCGCTTTTTCAGCGACTGCCGAAGAGCTTGTAGCAGGGCAGCAATGCAAACATGCTCTTGTGCTCTTGTTGTGTGGAGGCAGGCGGCAGGCATGTGAACATCGCGAATCCCAATGCCAAGCTTTTGTCATAATTACTGGAAGGATATTTTCACAAACGATGACCTTGGGTCAGACACCGCCGAGATCCAAGTTGGAACCCTTACAGCGTCGTTGCAATCCTGCAAGACACGGTGTCACTGGGCTGGCCTGCGTCCCAGACCAAGTCGGTGAAAAGGATCGACCGAAAAAGCACTCTTTGGGTATATAGATGTTCTATTTGGTGAGGTATAGATTAGTAATTATAGATGATCTATAGATGTTCTGTCTTGTAAAACACGAAGTTGCGGTCCCTGCAGCCACCTTGGTGTTTTCCTTTTCACTTTACCCGAGCCGGTGGTCCCAGGCAGATGTTGGAACTGGAGCCCGGGGGTGCCTTCAGCGCCGCTGGTCTTTGTGCCCTGCAGACCGCGCTACTCGAGCGGTGCGACGTGCAGCTGCGGCTGGCGCCTGGGAGACAACCGAAGCCACCCGAAGACCGGACGTTTGTAGCCAACCAGAACAAGAAACTCTGGAAAAAAGGCCTAGACCGGATGTTCTTGGGTTTTCCGGTCTGTTCTTTTTTTGGTCAGCAACATGCATTGCAATGACCCAAAACCCCACTGCATTCTCAGGACTGTTCCTACACCCAAGTGGATGAAGACTTAGCTGCTGAGCTCATCGGTACCTCGCCGGAATCACTCGCTCGGCCTCGCGGCCTCGCGCGGACACCGGTTTTCGGGCGGCGGAAAAAGGACAAGGTGGGTGACCTTCTACGTTTAATTCAATTTGTTTAGGTTATTTAGTTCAATTCAAGTCGAATTAACTTAATTCAATTCAAATTAAGTTAAGTCAATTCAAATCAATTGAATATAGGTCCCGAAGGCAGGAGGTGGGCTGAACAAGACCAGAAAGACCTTGTCAATATTGTTTAATTAGCTGCTTATAGCTTTTGGGCTTTTAGGTTTAAAGAAAGACCTTGTCTTACCTTGTCTTTAGAAAGACCTTCTGAGGTTTCTTTAGCTTTCGGCGAGCGAAGCAGATGGAGTACTCAAACCCGCTTTCGCCAAGCTTCCACTGCGCTGGAATTGACCACTCAGCACTTGCATGCATGGTGCTTCATGGCCGTTTCTCAAAATCGACCTTCCCATGTTCGTCAGAACCGATGAGTCAGTCCGATGAGTCAGATTCCCCCCACTCTGTTGAGACCAACTCAAACATCCACCAACTCAACTCAAAACGTGACTTAACATGACCAACAAGGTTGACGAACCTATCCTGTTTCATGTTGTCAAACTCCATGGTCTTTTCCTCATCACCTGTCGCCGCCATGTTGAACCTCAGTCAGTCCGCCCTTGAAACGGACCCTGAGGCCCGGGTGGCCTGGCCACCCTCCGTCGCTGGCAGCCGGAGGTGGTAGCACCAGACCCGGCACAGCCACCCAAGGCCAGACCGGTCGTGGTCGAGATCTCAGATCGTCTGAAGATCTGATCTGTCAAGCAACTGTTACTAGTAGCGTGGCACTTGTTTCTAGTAGCTTCTTGTTACTACTAGTAAGGCACTTGTTACTAGTAGCGATGCACTTGTTACTAATAGCATCAACTCTGATTCTTAGTTTTGCTTGGTAGCTCACCTGTCGAACATCAACCCAGGTGCGGTTATGCCACAGAACCCAACAACCCCCCCCTTTAAAAATGATTTGCAGTACCAAAAATCCCAACACATGTCTCCCGGACCGGACGATCTCGGGGGGTGGGTGGGTCCCAGTTGACCCGAGTTGTAGAGCCGGGCGACGTCAACCGCACGTCAATGCTACCCTCCCAGTTCATTAGGCTTCACCAACGTCTGAGACCCACTTTGGCTTCCCAACGTCCCCAAGTCAAAGCCGACGTCGGCACGAAAACCCGCGTTTCCCCCAAACGACGTGCGGAACTCGTCCAAGGCCGATGCCGAAATCGACTCGTGACTCGACTCACTTCGTCAGACGACGTGCGGACCGTGCACGGCGTGCTCACTTTCACCGTGAACGTGCCACAGGGCCCGCCAGCCAGACCATCTTCGCCGGCGCCGGTGCCCGAAAAGGCCGCACCCACAGTACTGAAGGCGAGATGTTGGGTGGGCGGGGGGTTTGGGTGTGGAGGTTGTGTAGATCAGGACCAGTGAGGTTGTGGATGTCTTGCCGGACCTCAGCATGCTGGGAATCTGCGGAAATCGGAGTTTTATGGGGAGAAGAAACCAACAATTGAGGACCTTTCAGTTTTTCTGGCATTTCTTCTGGTATACAGTAGAAAGTGTCCCAACACCTAGGTCCGAAGGTCTTGATTCAAGGGAGGGCCCCGTTTTCCAAGAATGTCGTCCTGACTTGACCACTCTGCTTGGGTTCCTCTCACACCACCCTCCTTTAGGCCCTCAACTCGCATCCGCATGTCCTCAATTCACCAACTCGGTTCACAATGGCGCACTTGGCAATGGGTCTAACCAAAGGACCCTGGTTCACCAACATGAACAGACTACTGAGCAGGTCAACCTACCAGGGTGGCTCCATCTGCCAGGCCGCCTGATGTTCTTAAAGATCTTTGATCCGCAAAACCGCATTCCATGGTTCAGCTCACTTTCCGAAGACGTAGTAACAAGAAGCTAGTAGAAACAAGTGCCACGCTAGTAGTAACAGGTGCCACGCTAGTAGTAACAAGAAGCTATTAGTAACAAGAAGCTACTAGGAACCAAGCGGCGGCTTCGAAAGCCGAATGGGCCGTCTCGTCGCAGCTCCAGGTCTCCGAAGTGATTCCACAGACCTTGCCATCACCACGGACCTTTCAGGACGCGCTAGAAAGCAGGTAGCGTCCTAGGTGGAGGCCCTCGCTACGAACAAGAAGCTACGAACGTAGCTATTTACTACTATATATAGTCATAATGCCCTTGTTACTGGTAGCTTCTTGTACCAGAACATTTGTGTGGCTGAGATATTTTTGTGGGACTTTAGGGTATTGAGGGTGAGGCCGGTTTGTGCGAAGTTCCATGTGAACATGGAGTGGAAGGTTTTGCTTGAAGCAGCATCATCCGGAAGCTTTGGATGTCAATCTTCCCTTTCGCATCACGCCTGTTTGTGAACACAGCGAAAGTGTACGAAAGTCATGTAGGTTTCCTGGTTAGCATGGTGTTTCTCTATCTACTCCAGTTGGAGAATCTCCTCCTTTCCTGGCAGGAGGACATGTCGGACACGAAGCCAAGGCACTGGGATCGACGATCGACCGAAAGAAAGAGGCTTAGATGGGTGACCACTGGGATTTAACAATAAGCCTCCAACAAATGAACCAATTTTTAAGTCCAGCATCTTCAGGGCTGTCGGACTTTTCTGAAAAAGTGTTTCTTTGACCTTTTTTCCTCCAGCGGAAAAAGAGCTGTTCCCGTTTGGTGCACCCCTCAGAGGCTGAAAGCAATGGACTTTCTAAAACAAAGGAGTCTGATATACTGATTAACATGGAAGTGGATGGCATAGGCTCTGCAAAGACCATGAAATCCTCTCTGAACAGTGGGGTTCCACGTCCATGTGATGTCCGAAAGACCGTACTCGAAGTCTTTGATGTTTCTTTTTTTTGGCGCAGATTACACTCTCTTGGAAGACCATTTTCCGCCACAAACAGGGTGTTTTCCACTTCCATGTCGCAGTTAGTTCCGGTAAGCCCCTTTTGTCTTCCTAAAATCTTCAGTTCTGTTTTTGACACATTTCGACCGGGCGACCTGGCCGAGGTGCTTACGTGACCTGTGTACCCGCCTAGCTGAAAAGCGCAGCGGCCCGATAAAGATAGTTAGGGCAAAACATCTCCCAGCTGGGCGGAGTTCCATGGTCAGCGGAATTCCACTGATCCATCAAATTCCCATGGAGGCCGTGACGAAATCGCCGTGAACGACGTTGCGCCACGCACGACAGGGCGCCCAAAGCGGCTGCCGCGACAAAAGCCGCTGCTGTCGCCAAGCAGGCGGCGAAGGCGTCGCCGCTGTGGCTTGGTCCAGAGGGTGGCAGAAGGCAGAAGCGCGTGCGGCTCGACTTTGTTCATGTCATGTGCACATCTAGTATTGCGTAGTATTTTGTTGCATGAAGGAAAGAGTTTGGCGCACATATAGTTGTTTGATAATAGGTGTCTAGTGTCTTAATGCTTCTCTACCATTGACATGACAACCCTGTGGTGGAAGTGAAACAAAGATGCATGAACTTTGGTGGGGATCAACCCCTTCTGTCCTGTACCATGTGGTAGGCCCTTCGAGATGAAGCTGGCTGACGCAGAAAGCAAGATATCCATTTCCAGCTATCTTTGTGAGCAACACTGGCAAGGGAGGCACCTTTGGCTCAAGTCATAGCCTCCGTTGTCCACAGCGCCTGCCCGACGCGTGGTCGCCACTTGATCTCGTCAAAACGAGTGTCGTTGAACACCGGGATTGGTCCGGCTTTTGTCGGGAGGTAAAACGAAAAGGACGTGAATCAACAGCAGCGTGACTGCTGCCCCGTCGTCCGGCAGTCCAAAGCTATCTTAAAGCATGTTCAAGGCTATCAGCGGTGCCAAGTCTTTGGACTTCCAGGATTAATGACTGCACGTTGTGGACCTGTTGATTGACCCTGGCGAAAACTTTCAGGTGGCGCCGTCCGACGATGGTTCAAACGTCTTTCTGTAGACCCAAAGGCTGTTGAAGATCACATCCAGATCACAACACTCTTCGGCGCGACTGGTCGGACCTTTTTGGACCAAAATGGAACCAAAGGCGACCTGGGGATTAGCTGATGGTACAACGCTTGTGATCAGTCCTGTGATCATGCACACTTAAATGAGTAGTGTTGACAAGAGCATCAGCGTCAAAGAGCTTTGCCTTCGAAGCCCAACAACATCACAGTTTCACTTCCAGGGCCAAGCCACATTAAGCAGGTCAGAGTCAAGTTTGCAAGCTTCTTGTTACTACTAGTAAGGCACCTGTTACTAGTAGCGATGCACTTGTTTCTAGTAGCGAACCTTGTTTCTAAAGCTTGTCCGGATGCATCTCTTTTTCACGAGGCAAGGACATCCTTCCGATTGGCCCATGTCCTTTGCAACATTCGGTCCATGGGCTTTCACCCATGTCACACTTCGGACCGGTACGAAGTGCGGAAACCGAACCCACTGGCGGATGTTGACATGACAAAAGCCCAGAGACCTTCCTCACACTTCCAACAGATTGTTCAGGAATTCGATTTAAAGGTGTGTAAATGAACCCCCTTTATTTTGGCCTTTTACACACAAAAGGTGTCATAAGCTTCCTCAAGAAGGTTGGATGGTTTTCTGTTTAGCGCGGGTTGAGCGCCTGTGGCGCCCAGGAGAAATGGAGAATTTCCTCGAGACTCGCTGTGATGAGGAGAACTTCCATGGCACCTGGCGGGACTTCCTCACGTTGCCCGAAAACGCGACTTCGGTTCCGGTGATGGAGCGATGGTGACGGCGATGAATGAGGAATGGTGAGACATCGATGTCTGTATGGTTGAGAAAAGAAGCTACGGCCCCCATGGCCTCCACCCTAGTAGTGATGGCCTCCAACCTAAGAGCGATGGCCTCCAAGCTAGTAGCAAATCTTTTGGTTCAGAGGGCAACATGTTTCTTCCTTTTTTGGTGACGATTTTGCTTTGTGGGGCTTCTTTCGATCGTGTTTTTTCACTAGTTACTGTAGGTGGTCTTTTCTGGTCTACAAACCTCCTGGGCCTTTTTTTGCTTTCGATATAGACCTGGCCTGGATCAAGCCAGGGCCACAGGCCTTTCCCAGGCCCACACCAGAACCGGATTGATCGTTGAACTCGCTGGAGCGGCTCATGAGCGGAACCAGCTGGAGAGGCCTTTCCGAAATGCACAAAAAGCTTTCGCACTCCTTAAGGATCATGGAGCCTTCGTGGAGGTGAAAGAGAAGAAAAAGAAGAAGAAGCCATTTGCCTCTCAGCTCTACCTGCAGTGGTAAAACACGGCACAAAAATCTGCCCCCCAAACCGCTGACGCCATGCCCGCCACATTGCCAGTGATGCTGTCTGTCTGCGACTTGCGACTGTCTGACCGACTAAAGAGACCTGAGCTGGGATCCCAAAGGGCGCACATCTGGGATGGGCTAGGCTTGCCAGTTCAACCTCCAGCACCCTCCGTTCGATCCGGTGTTTCCTGGTGACGTCCGGCCTGGTGCACCGACTCGTGCCGCGTGCCGCGATTCACGAGGTGGGCGGTCGCTATGGCGTGGCCATCGAGGAGGCGGTGAAGGCAGAGATGCGAGGGCAGCACGGCGCCGTCGGGGAGGCGTGGGAGGGGGGGAGGGGTGGAAGGGGTGGGTGGGGTGGGTGGATTCTGGTTCAATTTGGCCAGAAAGTTGTCTAGGTTGGGCAGGAGGATTTGAAGAGATCGGTTGGGAGGCGCCGTCGTGTTGCCAATTCTAGCCACAGTTTTTTCGTATGTCCTTCCAACAGCTGCTGAGGTTTGGGGAAGATAGATCACCTATCAGTTGTGAAGTTTTCCCTTTTTGGAACCGACCCACTTGTGGCATCCTTCATGTGCCAAGCCATGTCGCAGTTCATGTTTCCAAACAGTATATTGATCAAATGTGCAAGGACAGACCTCCATTGGACACCCATTGGATGTCATGTTCTAAGTAGTGTTCAAAGTATGTTCCCTGTTGCGATGTTTTTGTGGCTGTCTCCACAGTATTTGTAGATCATTTTTGAACGACTTTGAATGGCAACAGAAACCTCGGTCTGGACGCCATCCTGATACAAGTTGCTGCATCTCCCCATCATGTAAGCACTTTCGACTGGACACATGTATCTGTCTGGTAAGGTGATTGAGCTCTTAGCAGACAAGACGAAGACCAATCCTGCGGGTCTCGTGTCAGCACCCAAGTCGGCTCGGGCGCGGGGTCTCGCGGGTCGAAGCGGGTCGGGTCGGGCCCGGTGACGGCGACGGCGGAGTTTTGGAATAGGGCGCTACTAGGTTGGAGGCAGTACTTACCGCACAGCAACCGCAGTGTCATGCGTCGCGGAAGGAAAAACCCTCCATGTTTCTAGTCAGTTTACCTCTTTTGGCAAGCTAGGATCATTTTGGAAGACTCTCAGCCGGTGAGGCCTTATGGTTCAACCAGACTACACACCGGTCGTGTGATGCACTAGTGACTATGTAGTGATTAGGAAGCCTGATGTTGCTGGGGAGTGGATCAGACGGCCATGACAAGACACGCCCTCGCAGAACTTCCTTAGCAGGGCAAACTTTTGCAGGACAACCACGTGATATACCTCAAGTGTTGCCCTTATATAAGTGTTACATAGGCCCTATGTAGGGAGGATTCCAGGGGGTATTGCCAGGGGGTATACGCAAAACCCTTAGAAATGGTTCCGGTAGTTGATCAGCAATCGTCCGGAACAGAACCATTCGCTTCGCGACCAGCGCTGGTCAGAGACAAAGCACCTGGCAGAAGTTGCCGAAGCTCTCCGAAACACCACTCTAATAGGGGCTCCTGGCCTTACTACTACTACTACTACTCCTGCTACTACTACTACTACTACTACTACTACTACTACTACTACTAACAAGGACGCTACTAGTAGCTCCTGGCCTTACTACTAGGAACAAGCAGCTACTAGTAGCTCCTGGGCTTCCGACGAACGACGACGCACGAATCCCTTGAGTGATCGAACCGTTCGAGCTCTCGGTCGTCAGGTGCTGATCATTTGGTGAAGGCAGCAGAGAATACAGAGGAGAAGACGAAGAAGTGCCCTGAATCGCAGAATCGTTCGCTCCTAACAGTGTTCGCTTCTTCATGGAAATATGAATGTTTCTTCCCCACTTGCTTGTGTTCGCTTCTTTCTGTCCTTCCTTTCTTTGTTCTTGAAAGAACTTCAGACCTTTCTTCTGTCCTCTTCTGGCTTCCCTCCTTCCCTTTTGGCTGAAGAGTAGGAAAATAGAGGATCGCATGGCACTAGAGAGATGTTGGGACGTTGATTGTTCTTAGGTAGTGTAGACGTTGTGACCCAAAGGTGGTCATAGGAAACATTTCCTGTGACTTCCCAACACCAGAGACCCACCCACCCCACAGGCCCTCACACCCCCGACATATGATGTGAGCTGCAAGTGCGTTTGTCTGACAGGGTCTTCAGAGAGATAACTGCTGACTACGTCCGCCCGAAGGTGCCATTAGTCTTAGTCTCCGAAGCAACGCTCTGAACTTCACCACCTCATCCAGTGCGGGCCGGGACGCGGTGGACACGGACTTGCTGCCCTCCCCCTTAGTTTCCGTTGCAACAAGCGTAGACGCGGAGGGAAGTCTCGGCACTCTGGGCCACGCCGCTTCGAGGTCGAGTGATTCCCGTCCTCGGATCGCAGTGATTCGCTGGACGTTCGCTGGACGTACTTTCTACGGTTTTTTTCTTCGTTGATTCGGATTGACCAAAAGAGGACAGCCCCATACCTCTGGGTTGATGTTTGCCAGTACTCCCATCTGTTTTAGCATTGAAAAAAAAGAGCACAGCCCCATGGCCACGGCCACCCACGTCTCGTCGCTTCTTTTGCCGGAGCACCGCACATGAAACGCTTTCGCGCCGCTGTTCTCCGCACGTCTCAGGCAGATCCACAAAGGAAAGCAACACAAGCTCCTGAGCTGAACTCATGAGCTAGTGCGACTAGTGCGTATGATTTTTGAAGGGTCTAAAAACCAGGCTCCAATTGAGTCACCAACGTCGAATTCCCCAACCAGACGCCATCCATCCACCCGTTCAGTCGTCCACCGCCGCGCCAAAGCGGCGCCCGGGCGCCACACGAGGCTCCCCGTTTGGGAAGAATCGGACTCCTCCAGTTCGGACTGACGAACCGGAGAGAGGCGCTGGATGGGGGGTCCGAACGGTTCCGGGTGTGGTGGGAAGGACAGGTAGACCGAAGTCTACAGAGTGATAGCCCAGATCGCGAAAAGGCACCGGGAACGCGGAATCGACAGGTGTTTGGGGTGGCCTTTGTCACTAGTAGCTTCTTGCTACTAGTATTAAGGCCAGGAGCACCCCTAGTAGCGTCCGAACGCTCCTATTAGGCGTCCTTGCCACTTGATTGGTTCGTGGTATTCTCCAAGACTCGCGTGCTCATCGCCCTTTGCAGGACTCGAATCGAATGCGAAGCTGTTCAAGATCTGAGAGTGTAGACGGCACGGCAAATGCTTGGAATCTGAGAGAATGACGATCATGACGTCATCACGAGGCAGGCACTATGACCCTTGAAAAATCCAGATGAAATCCGAGATGCCAAGCCTTCAACAAGGGCCTTCCGAGGCTTTTCTGTGCATATCCTACTTTAGATGCTTCTTCTCGGCGGACAACATCGTCGAATCTCTGAGAGTGCGGAGAGCTCCGCAAAAGGCAGCCTATTAAGTGGTTTTATTCTTGCAAGAGCCTCAAAACAGCTAAAGGGCAATGTAGACCCTAGAAGTCCAGATCGACGGTTTTGGGCCCCAACGAAGTAAATTCCTTGACTCGGGTCATTACTTCAGGTATGGAGATCATAAGATTGGCCCTACATACTTGGTAAACTGGGCCTGGGTGGTCTTTAGGTGTTTAGGATGCTCTCCCCGTCACAAGCAGCTGTAACGTCACTAACACATGGCTGTGTCCTGAAATGTCCAGAACCCACCTTGATCAGCACTGCTGAGCTACTAGTAGCGTACTTGCTCCTAGTAGCGATGGCCTCCAACCTACTTGCGATGGCCTCCACCTAATAGCGTCCTTGCTACTCGTAGCGTCGTAGGATAATCCCACTTCATGGAACAGTTTTGTTGGCATTTACTCGATGTGATCGTCACTGAATCATGTGTGCCAGCTCCTATGTATCTCGCAGAGACAATTGTTGGATGATTGTCAGGAAATTTCATTCCATCGCTCTTGGGACAGAACATGGCAACAACAACTTCTGGCCCTGTGCAAAACACCTTCGAAAGCTTCATCATTCCAAAAAGACCACCACTATTACAGTGGATTCAGAGTAGATGGCACTGGCGCCCCATAACTTAGACAGATGGGGGTCCATATAAGCCACCAAACTTGGGGTAACTTGTGCAATTACTACTCTGAAACGACTGTACCACCAGCCAACCGCCACTGGGATCCTCCTCCAAGGTCCATGTGTGGAGCCCAAGTCTTACGCCAGCCGCGTCAGCCGCCCGCTGGCGGCTTGCTGCAAAGCGCCCAGGCCAGCGCCAAGGTGGGGTGCGTGTCCAAAGCATGGTCGGTAAGGTTTAGTCCTCGATGTCAGGTGCGGGTGGCACAAGTTTTTCTTTGCACCTGCTTCGGAGTTTTCGTTTCGGCAAGAGAGCGAGTGCATGGTTCAAAGACGTCATTCGTGGTGGCTGTTGTCATCCAACGGCACTTGTTGTGTGTGCTGGCGCCTCTTTGAAACGAATTGATGTCCGCTGGTCTTGCGGTTGCTGCTTTCATAAGGGTTCTCTTCCTCATGGTGAGGCCGATTCAACTTATTGTTGAGGTGACCATCGGTGAACTCATGCCGGGATTGGACTCCCACACCTCATTCCGGATTGGGCACCTGAACCTGTGCACCAACTCCCCACACTTCTGGATGCACCTGGTTGATTGGTTCTTCTTTGGTGCACCCCACCACCCCACCACCCCAGCCGCACCGCCTCGTCTCAAGGCGAAAAGCCGCGGGGTCGGCGCGAGCCGCTCGGCGGTGAAGCTGTAGCGATGGCCGGCGCTTGAGGCTGCGAGGCCTGCGATGGCCTCCACCCTAGTAGCGATGGCTGTGCTGTGAGCCTGTGTCAGCCTGTGTCAGCCTGAATGCACAATGTGACTTGGGTGAATATGCATAGAACATGATTTATTCTGCAGAAAGTGTGAATTCACAAGCATATATACTTATTTCAGCATCTCTGCTGCATCTTTGGTGACTCCCCTCCAAGCCGATCACGAAACAAATAATCCTACATCACTTGCCACTGCCCGAAAGCACAAGTCCTTTAGACATTGCTTTTGTTGCGCAAAAAAAGGACACCTAAACTGGAGTTTCCAGTGGAAAGGTCCAGTCGTGCAGTGCAGGATAAACAAAAGAGAACAGGTCAGTTTCCTCTAGATCCACCACAATGAGTCACAATGAGAGCTCCCTCAGTGAAAGCTGAAAGCTCCTGAGCTGAAAGCTCAGTGCTGCAGCAGTCGCTTCGGGCAGTCGCCCCTGCAAAAGGAAGTCGCCACAAAAGGAAGCCGTGGGCAAAGCCACCGTCCGGGAACGGGTTTAAACCGGCCGGAGATGGCGAAACAGCTTGTGCTTTGACAGATGGACAGGCTCCGGATCGGTCGCTGCTTGAGGATGACGAGTGGAGGGGAGGGGAGGTGGCTGCTCGAGGGGATGACGGTGGCTTCCAACCAGTTTTGTAACCTTTTGAGGGTCCCAACCAGTGACCGAACCAACCAGAGGCTTCAGTGGCCGAAGCAACTGGGATCTCGTGTACCAACTCCACGGCTGTGGAGGTTCTGGCTGTGGTTAAGTTGCCTGTGGTTCACACGAGAAGTGTGCAGTCGAGACATGGACGAGCTCCTACATATTTAGAATCCTCGTGAAGTGGACAGATTGTGGGGACAGTCCAAACGCAAATGGACTCTATTGTACTTGGAAATGCCAGCTTCAGTTGAAGAGTCCCTGCACCAACTGCAAGGAACACACGTGAATTCAATGGATAGATCATGATAGGTCCGATAGGTCGTTGGGAAACTTAACGTTCGTAGCGTCCTTGTTCCGTTCGTAGCTTGCGGCCAGGAGCCCCAGACTCGAACGCGATGCCCGAAGTGCTCCGTTCGTCCTCCCCGCGCTGCATCGGCACCTCGCCGGCGCAGGACTCAGAACTTTGAAGCCTTGGAGGAGTGCTACAAGCACATGCGAGAGGCCAGGGGGTGGAAAAGCCATCGTTTTTTTGTCTTCTGAGGTTGGAGGCCATTGCCATTGCTAGTAGGTTGAAGAGCCTGATGGAGAGTTTGGACTGGAGAAGTCGTTCTTGAGAGAGTACGCGGAGAGAGGGGTAGGGTGCTAGCATTGGAAGCAAGAGGTCCAATTCTGCGAAACACTGAGGCTGAAGTAGCAGATCTTGCAATAAAATATAGCTCAAGCATGCTCAACCAGTTTTTGCCCACTATACACGTTGAGATGAAAAGGGCGACGCATGCGTCCCTGTAAATCCTGATTGATCCTGATTGTGGGCTTATGCTGCTTTCATGGGAGGTCACCAAAAGGGTAGTCATCTGCCATGAGATGGGGAGGGGAAGTGAGCAAGCCCCCTCGGCCCCAAAAATGGACATAGAATGGGCGCCTACACAAAGAAAAGACAGCAGACTCTTCAGTTTGGACCTGAAAGCTCCCCAAATACTCCAAGTTCTTCTTTCCGATCCCGTCGCTGTGTGTTTGTGTGTTCCGTGCCTCGTGCAGCGCGTCATCCGGTCGCACATCCAGGTGGGCGTCCCTGTTGCGCCCAGCGTGGTGCTCGAGGTGCGGACCCAGCGACGCAGGGAACGTCGGGGGGGGGATTAGCACGTCCAAGCGCAGGGGTGCTCGGAGTGGTGCTTTTTGGGGTGAAGAACAGTGATTTGATTGGGATCCCGATGTTTCAGAGTCCAAGGCTTTTCCATTTGCCGAAGATGAAGCCCCCTTCCACCCTGTGTAGCAAATGAGATGTGGTCGATCAGTCGATCAGTCGTTTGGTCGATCAGTCGATGTACAGCCTCAGAGGAGTTGAAAGCAATCACCATCGGGCAACAAAACTAGACTTTACTAAACATCAAGCACACGGAGGGTTTTCTGGGAGCATTGGCTTTGGTGAGACACACCAGAAGCAGCTTATCGTGCTCCAGAGAGAGTGTTGACTTGAAGATGGATCGCCATTGCATGTTTCTTCCATGTGAATCGATCAACAGGCTAGTTAGATCCAATAAATTGTTGAGGAAGCT